GATTTAAAGGGGACTTATAAGGGGTACAAGAAGAGCTGGAGCAGTGGTTCATCAGTGAAGAGTGCCAGCTGCTCTTTCAGAGGACTGGAGTTCCCACACCTCCATCGACAGGCGCACAACTGCCTAAAACTCCAGCCCCAGCGAAACTGCTGGCCCTTCTGGCCTCTGCCAGCACCTGTATACATATAGATAATCAATTATAAAGTAACCCTTTTTAAACCAGAGGCAGAGACTTAGAGCTGACAAGGATGCAAAGAGAGAGAGTCTCTGGTGAGGTGTGGGAAGAAGATAAGGAGCTCTATTGGCCTACTGGAGAGCCCTGGGAAATTGCCATGGAGCCAAGTGGCCAAGCCTTAGAGTTGAATTCAGACTTCTGAGTTTCGGTGAGCTGCAGAGGCAAGGTACAAAAATTGCCTAGGGGGATGGGCTGTAATTCAAGGAGGCAGAGCCAGCAAGGATCCAGGTGAGCTGAGGTACCTGTACAGTTGGGAGTCCTCTTTGCCTGTCAGTGCTGTAGTGCACATACTGGGTGGCCAGATGACAGCTCATTACAGCATTAAATACCATTTTCTTTATAGCATCTAAGTGAGGGGGTTGTACCTTTCCTTGGTCTGGGTGTGTTTGGTAAGTTCTTGGGGCTGTTGTTTGTTTTTCTGATGTGGTTTTGATATACCCATGTCCTCACCTGGCCCAATCTATCCAGATAAGTTTATAGGGTAGTAGAGGAATAGGCTATTTATCAGGACTTACCTCATGGATGGTGCTAGAGAGGTAGAACAGTGTCTATGTGCCTAACAAGAAGAGCCTTGCAGCCTTTGTGCCTGCACTCAAAATGGAGCTGAATGCTGTATGTGAAATGCTAAGCACAGGCAGGGCAAGGCAGAGCATGTGTGCTCTGCTTTACACAATATGGACTGGTTTTCTGTCTGGGCATTTTCTGGCCTGCAGTTTTGGCAAATACTCTCACTGTTCAGCTTGTTTCACAAGGTTCAAATCTCAGTCATCACTGGCTTTCCCCTCACCTCCCATACAGAACCAGTTTTCTCCCATCCCAGTAGCTTCTCCCTCAGAATGTTCTCAGCAACTGGTGTCCTCTACTTAGGACCTTGGCATGGAACTTGGAAATCCCACACACAGTCTATTACAAAAGTCTGCTTCTGGCCACTTTACCAGCCACAGCTGAAAACGGCCACAGAATTGATCAGGATTCCCATTGCCTGCAGATTTGAATGGAATTCCTCATTTGGGCTTAGAGAATCTATGAAGATCTGGCTTCTTTCATCTGCTTCTCCCTCTTCCTCCACTGTTAGTTATGTAGCATGATCTCCCCAGACCCTGGAATTCTGACTATTTCCTAAACAACTGACCTTCATAGAACTCTGAATGTGTGAGCACTGTTCCCTTTGTCCTGTGCTCTGTCACCCATCAGACTCCTGTTCATCCTTCACAATCCAACTGAGCTCTTTTGAAAATAATTCCTTCCATTTCTTGAGACTATTCTATTCCAAAGACTTAGTCTGTTGTTGCCATTGGGCCAAAGTAATTGGTTTTTAATTTTTCTTATTATAACATTTGACATGTTGTGCAGCAATTTTTCCCAATTGCTTCTGCCAGCCCCCATTTAACAGGGGTTGGTGTTGACTGCACAGGGCGGACTGAAAGGAAGAAAAGGCATGTATGAGGCTAGCTTGTAAAAAAACAAACGTGCTAAGTTAGCAAATCTCTGAGGAATTTATAGTCAAGACAAGCAGGGACTGTGCTGCCCAGTGTTTACATTCTTGTAATCCTCGAAACTAGACAAGTCAGGTACACACTGGGAATCCGCTCATGGGAAGCAGAGCCTGGACAGTTTAGGTCATCCTGAAGGTGAGATGCAAGTGTCTTTAACTAACCACAGCAGTCCATTCCCCTCAGCAGTGGCCGTGGTAGTAAGTTCTAGCCAGTGAGCTACAATGGGAAGCCGTCTTTAGTCAGGGTTACTACTGTTGTGATGAAACACCATGGCCAAAGGCAACTTGGGGAGGGAAGGGCTTATGGATCCACATCACTGTTCATTACTGAAAGAAGTCAGGACATGAACTCAAACAGGACAGGAACCTGGAGGCAGGAGCTGATGCAGAGGCCATGGAAGGGTGTTACTTACTGGCTTGCTCATCATGGCTCACTCCTCCCAGCTTGCTCAGCCTGCTTTCTTCCACCAGGGCAGGGGTGTCCCAACCCACAATGTACCGGGCCCTCCTCCACTGATCATTAATTAAGAAAATGACCTGCGGGCTTGTCTGTTTCAGCCCCATCTTCTAGAAGCATTTTCTCAGTTGAAATTCCCACCTTTCAGATGACTATAGCTTGTCAAGTAAAGCTAGCCAGTACAGAAGCCTCTATTAGGAATTTCTGAAACTATGTTGCTTTAAAACAGGAGAGGGGTATGTGAGGATGATGCCTCTTGTCCCCCTTACATTCCTGAATTGTAGGCTTTGGTGTTGGATTGTGATTTGAAGGGTTTCTGCAGCAGTACTGTAGTCATGGAATGAGTTCTCAAAATGTGAAAGACGGTGAAAGAGAACAAAGGAAACGTCATGATTCCTCGAAGGTACCACAAAGAAGCACAGTCCATCCTGGGACTGGCTGCCACACACTTTTCTTAAATAAATAATAAAGTTATTTTATTATATTCTTGTAAGTCAGATAATCTGTAAACTGAAGCTGAAAGCAAATCTAAAAGGACCGGGATTAGCAATTTCAGCTGTCCCTCTCATTGACATGTAGGCCCAGGAAAAGGAAGAGCTCACTCTTTTGGTGCTCTATCAGCCAGCCAGGAGCACTTTTTTGGTGCAGGAATCAACACAAGCAACAGAAAATAGTCACTGAATAAATGAGTTGAAGGACAAAGGAAATGGAAAAAGATACAAAGGGACTTGATCAATGTTTCACAGTAGGATGTGTGTTTACTGCCTGGAAGACACAGCCGTTAAGAGTCTATGCATCTATGTGGATCAATTGCATTTATGTGTTTAGAGGGTAAGAATAGAAGATTCCTGCATTCAGATGGCTCTATGGCTAACATGGGTGTGGTGGCTTGACTGAAAATGGCCCCATAGGTTCATAGGAAGTAGTGCTCTAAGTGTGTCACTGGGGGTGGGCTTTGAAGCTTCAGATGCTAGAGCCAGGTCCAGTTGCACTCTCTCTTCTTGATGCCTGCTGAGCTGGATGTAGAACTCTCGGCTCCTCTCCAGCAGCATGTCTGCCTGCATGTTGCCATGCTTCTGGCTATGATGATAATGGACTAAACTTCTGAACTATAAGCCAGCCCCATTTAAATGTTTTCCTTTATAAGAGTTGCCATACAGCTGGGAGCAGTAATACACGTCTGTAATCCCAGCATCCAGGGATTACAGGTAGATCCAGAGGTAGGTGGATCTCTGTGATTTCGAAGACAGCCTGGTCTACAAAGTGAGTCCAGGACATCCGAGGCTACAAGAGAAACCCTGTCTTGAAACAAACAAAGAAACAAACAAACAAGAAAGAAAGAAAAAGAGAAGTAAGAAAAGAGTTGCCATGGTTGTGCTGTCTCTTCACAGCGAAGACACTGGGTAACAGGTTTCTGCCTTATTGAATGCCATCTCGGGAAGACTAATAGAGGCATAGAAAAGCCTTTATTTCTTGTTTCTTAATTTCTGCAGCCTGTTGTTCGCAGTTATCTTCTCCAAATTGGAGCATTTGTTTAAGTTCTCGAAGTGACAACCCTTAGAAGCTCCAGGAAGCTCATAAGATTCATAAGGTGATACAAATAGTAACAACTGCTGGGCAGAAGAGACTCCCAACCGGCCAGTAAGCCAGCTGCCTGAGCACTGTACAGGGAGCCTCGGAGAAAAAAAATAACTTTTGGGTGATGCAGCTTGAGTCATCTATGTTTCCGTAAATAACCCTTCACCCTGTAAGTAATCCCAAAAACCACATTGATTCACCGATTGGACTTTGGTGAAAATGCTACGTGGGTCCATCATCGGTGCCTTCTCTGGCGTGAATGCATTTGTTCGGACCTTCCAAGGAAAGAGCCATACAACACTCATAAAAGACTAGTGGTTTCCTGGAAACATTGGGAGGTCTCTTTCACCTTTCAGTACATTCCCAGCTCCCTCATCCCTTACTCATGGAAGAGGTCAGAAGGGGCAGTGCATCTGGAATTGGGCAGAAATGACGGCTTGTGTGTGTAACCAGCCCTACTCCCCTTCCCTCCACCTTCTTCCATCTCATCCAGCATTTGCTCGCTGCACTTTGCTCCTCCGGTTGTAAAGTCTGCAAACTCATTTGGGGCAAGGTTTTCTTCTATGTAAACAGTCATAGTAAGCAGTCTATTACGTGATGAAAGTGCCGGGAGCCAGGCCATCTCGCCCAGCCAGCTTCTCAACTAGGTCTCTCAACAAGTTTAAGATGTTTTAGATTGGCACATATTAATTATACACAAGAAGTTTCACTGTGGCTTCATATACGTGATTCTCATACATGTATGAAGTAATTTGCTCATATTCACCCCGTAATGCCCCTTCCCTACCATATTCCATTCTCATTGATACTTTTAAAATAAATTTTTAAATATGTTCACAACCTACAGATACAAAAAAATACAAAATGATACAGAACTGGGGAGTTGCCTCCATGGCTAAAGGCTCTGTCGGCCATAAAGCCTGAGTCTGGTCTCAAGAGCTTACACGGTAGAAAGAAAGAACCAACTCCCAAAGTTTTCCCCTGACCTCCATATGCACGGCATGGCATGTATGCACACATGCACAATTTCATACCACATATACCCTGACATGCACACACCAAATAAATAAAAATGAAACAAAATTTTTTCAGGGGCTCTGAAGCGATGGCTGAGTAATTAAGAGCACAAGCCGCTCTTGCAGAGTGTTAGGAATTGTGTGGCTGTGAAGGTTACATGACGGGTTCACAAATCACACCATGAGACCGGTTCCACATGGGAAGTTTATTAAGGGAAGGGAAAGGGGGTCGCAGAGAGACGAGGCGGAAGAGAAAGAGAGAGAGGAGGGGCTCCAAGAGTTCTTTTATAAGGTAACCCAGGGCATGCACAGGTGGTTCCAGGTGATCAGCGGGTGGTCTTCTTGGTGGCTTCACAAATGCCTGATAACTGGTTTGTCAGGTCCCTTGGGGCTGGCCATAGAGATGCCTCCTTACTGATCCCAACTTTCCTCCCTTTTTGTTTTGTTAAAAAGTGAGGAGTCAGGAAGGGGTGATGGTGGGGGAAGGGCACAGGGACGACTTCTGCTTTTCAAGCTACTTCCTGCTGATTAGGGGCGTTGTCCTTCTCGGGATACAGCTGGCTCCCATCATCGGGGTCATAGTCTGGCTCTGAGGGCAGAGGTTGATAATCCTGTAGGAGTAACTGATTAATGGTTTGGTTAGAGATTTTTTGCATTTGTTGTTGGAAGAATGTAGAGAGGAAGTTAATTAAGCAAGGTGCAAAAAGCAAAAGCGGAAAGACTAGCACGGGAGGTGAGACAAGGGGCAGAATCCATTTCCATATGGGATTCTGAAAGGCCCAAGAGCTAGAGGCCTCCAGCTCTTCCTTCCTTTTTTGTAAATCTGTCTGGAGTTGTTGGATTTTGTCCTTTACTATACCCGACTGGTTGACATAAAAACAGCATTCCTCCTGGAGGAAGAGGCAAAGGCTATGTTCTTTAGCTGTGAGGAGATCCAATCCACGTCGGTTTTGAAGTACTACTACTGCCAGTAAGTCAATCTGTCCTTGGAGGGCTAGTATTGTCTGAGCCACTTTTTGAAGGTCCTGGATGAACTGGGAAGAAAGCTGATAATATAAAGTTAGTGAGGTGGCTAGTCCTGCTGTTCAGGTCCCTAGAGCTGCCATGATTCCTGCAGCAGCCAGCAGGGGTAGGATTTGAATTGCCCTCTTCTCCTGCTGGGCAGCTTTTGAGTCCACGACTGGGATTCATAGGGGCTCTCTTTCGTTTATCACCCCCAGCTCGGGGAAGAGGAGTACCAGAGCGCAAACTCCTGACCAACGAGCAGGCAGACCTGAGTGCCACAAAGAATCGAGATATTATTAGCAGTAGGGCATTGGGGTTGAGAGGAGGTTTCAAGAATTACAGTTTTATTACAGTCTAAGGAATTAGCATTCCTACAGAGTGTGGCCCAGATGCCTTGGAACAGCTTGCCACGCCAAAGAGGGTGATATGAGAAAGGTAGGGGGTTGTGGCAACCTCAGAGTCAGGGCAGCTAGTAAATGGTGAGGTGAGGTTGCTTGACAGAGTCACTGCAGAGGCTGTCAGCGGTACCTCTGACTTGGACCCCTGTGGTACACACAGCCAGCAAGCTTCAAAATGGCCCAGTTGGGTCACATTAAGGAGCTTGTAGGCCAAGGTCAGAGTCTGAAGTAGGAGATGAAATGACAGGTTTGTGTTATTCATGAGAGGGGATGTTAGAGAGGTAATGACCTTAGAGGAGTGTTTAATTATCTTTTCTACTTCTCCCATTCCCAGATTTTAGGTAATTGGGACATATTTTCTCTGGATATGGATAGTACTTATTGGTAAATCGGGTGTGTAGCAGCGGTAAGAGTTTTCCAACGACGCCTGCTTCCCATTTGGCATCCCACGGGTCTTGGATGTATAAGTAGCGGGTCTTTTGATACAGGTGAAGGAGCTTCTTCTGTGCTGGTGAGTAGATTTAGCAAGACCAGTATGGGCAGCCTCCATACCTGTCCGGTCATTTTTTGCAATAATCCTTTGTTTGATCAAAGAGAAAGCAGACAAAAATTCTATCAAATAAGAGGGGAGGGATAGAAATAGGGGTGATAGCTATTTCAATTGGCTCCCGACAGCCTCCCATAGAACAATTTGTCGACCCTATTTGGAGAGATTGTTTATTATCAATGATAGTTTCTTGAACCTCAAATCTCCATATGTAGGGATTATCTTTAACAGAAATGGGCAAGAGGGAGAGGAGGAAAAATACATATCCAATCCAGCAGGGTTGAACATTGCTCCTGTGGTGAGGCCTCATTCTTCTGGAACTGGAGACAGGGTGGTTGATCTTGGCGTCTTTTGGAGCTTGAGGGAGCAAGGTCCTGTTGGAATTGATATGTAGAAAGGGGCATTATCTTGAGGAGAGGGGGTGAAAGGCTTAAGGTGGGATAGATGAATTCAGTGAGGGAAGCCCTCAAGTTTAGCAGCTGTGGGGGTCACAAGAATCACCTTGAAAGGGCTCTGCCATTTAGGAGAAAGAGTTGGGAAACTTTGGTTTGGAGGGGAGAGAAGGACCTGGTCCCCAATGTTAATCGGAGATGGACAGGGGTTAGTGTGTGGCCGTGGTAAATAGTGGTCAGTAAAGACCCATAGAAGGGAACAGAGATGACAGAATAAGGGAGTAAGTAGGTGGTCAGGGAGAGGAGAGATTTAGCTGAAAGACCAGGAGTTAAGACTGGTCTCCCATACATGAGCTCAAAAGGTGAAATAGACAGAGGATTTTTTGGGGAGAGCTCGCAGCCTGAAAAGAGCCAGGGGGAGGAGTTTTACCCAATCGAGGTGAAGCTCTTATGATAGTTTAACAAGAGTGTTCTTTAGGGATCGATTAGTTCGTTCTATCTTTCCTGAGGACTGGGGATGGTATGGGATATGAAAATACCAAGGAATGTTAAGGGCTTTAGATAAGGTTTGGGAAATCTGAGAAGTGAACTCAGGGCCATTATCTGACTGAAGGGAGGTAGGAATTCCAAAATGTGGGATAATCTCATGGAGAAGGAGATCAGAAACTGTCTGAGCTCTTTTGTTAGTAGTGGGGAAAGCCTCCACCCATCCCGAGAATGTGTCCACCAAGACCAGGAGGTAGTGGACACGTTTGACTGCTGGCATGTGGGTAAAATCAAGTTGCCAGTCAGTCCCAGGGAGAGAGCCTCTAGCCTGGTGGGTAGGGAAAGGGGGGCTACGATATCCTGAGTTAGGATCTGAGGTCTGGCAGATCTTACAAGAAGCAGTAATGGTCTTTAGGAAGCGCAAATCCTCAGAGGTAGGCTGCAGGTGAGCCCTAACAAAGTTAGACAAAGCTTAACTGTTAGGATGAAAGAGCTGGAGTAGATAGGACAGGATCTGACGAGTGTCAGGAGAGGGCGGGGGAAATGTGGGTTGTAGTATAAGGATATTTTGTGGTGGGAGGGAGGATTCTAGGCCTTTTAGGGTTGCAGCTTTAGCTGCCTCGTCAGCACAGCTATTCTCTTTGGAAACTACGCAATTGTCCATCCGGTGAGACTGGCAGTGGACTATTCCAATGGCTGTGGGAAGGTGGGAGGCTTCTAGCATGGCCATAATTTGGCCTGCATTGGTTACTGATCCTCTCTTTTCTGTAAGCGACCCACACTCTCTCCAGATGGCAGCATGGGAGAGAAGAATATGAAAAGCATATTTAGAGTCTGTATAGATATTAAGGGATTTCCCTGGGCTAATTGGAAAGCTTGAGTAAGAGCTATTAGTTCGGCCTGTTGATTAATGGTGTGGGCAGGGAGGGCTTATGCCTCAACCACCTCAGTATCCAACACTATGGCATAACCTGCTTTTCGAGTTCACTCAGGTACAAAGGAGCTGCCATCTGTGTACCAGGTATAGGCAGCCTGAGGCAATGTGCCCTCCTGTATGTGTGAGGGGTGGGGCAATAGCTCCTCTAAAGTTTCAGTGCAAGAATGAGATGGGGAATAGTCAGAGTTAGGTCAAGGAAGAAGGCTTGAAATATTAAGAGGTGGGCATGGTTGGAAAGTGAGGGCAGAGTCTTCTATTAGCGCCACCTGGAGGGAGAGGACCCTGGAAGGAGGTAAAGTTTGTAAGCCTTTGTATGTTAAAAGGTGGGACAGATTGTGAGAAGAGAAGACAGTAATAGGTGACCTGAAAGTTAGTTTTTTTGACTCTCGAATAAGGAGCTCTGCAGCCACTAGGGCAGGAATACAGGGTGCCCATCCCTGGATTGTCAGGGCTAATATTTTTGATAGATATGCTACAGGTGTAAAGGAGGGTCTCAATTGGTGGCCCAGGGCTCCAAGGGCATATCCCTCTTTTTCTGTTACATAGAGGGAGAAGGGATGGGTTAAGTCTGGAAGATGTAAGGCTGGGGCCTCAAGAAGAGCCTGTTGGAGCCTCCAAAAGGGCTTAGTAACAGGTTTTAGAAGGGGTTCATGCAAAGAGCCTAAGGCTGCCTCATATAAGGGGTGGGCAAGAAGGGAAAAGGAGGGGACCCAGGACTGTAAGAAACTGGCCATTCCCAGAAATGATAGGATTTCTTCTTTATTAGAGGGAACTGCCAGAGACCGTATGTATTAGGTCTTTTCTGTCTAGGGTAATGCCCTTGTGGGTTGGGGTTATTGTTAGTCCCAGGTAAGTGACCTCAGAAGTGGATAACTGCACTTTGGAGGGTGAGACCCGATAGTCCCTGCTGGATAGGAAATTTAGAAGAACAGAAGTGTTAGTTTGGCTAACTTGTAGGGATGGGCTGCAGAGGAGAAGGTCATCTACATACTGTATAAGCTTAGATTTAGGGAGAGATAAGGAGAGTAGATCAGAGGCTAGGGCCTGGCCAAAAAGATGTGGGCTGTCCCGGAATCCCTGGGGTAAGACAGTCCAGGTAAGCTGAGTAGAGACCAGGGTGTCAGGGTCAGTCCAGGTGAAGGCAAAGATATTTTGTGACTGGGTGTCTAAAGGAATAGAGAAAAATGCATCCTTGAGATCCAGAACTGAGAAATGGGAAGTGCCTGAGGGGATAGTGGAGAGGAGGGTATAAGGGTTAGCTACAACAGGGTGGAGAGGAACGACTGAAGAATTTTGTAGCGAGAGATCTTGAACCAGGCGATAGGTTCTATTGGGCTTTTTAACCACGAGGATGGGGAGGTTAAAAGGAGAGGAAGTGGGGCGGAGGAGTTTTTTTCTTAGAAGGTCAGAGATAATGGGCTTAAGTCCCCTAAGACTCTTAAGAGGAAGTGGGTATTGAGCCTGAACAACATACCGGGTGGGATCCTGTAGTTGAATGACTACAGGGGAATGGTGCCTAGCCACAGAGGGGTTTTGGATATCCCAGACTTGGGGGTCCACCTGAGAGGCTGGTAAGGGAAGTGGCGTGTCAGAACTGGTAGGTAAGGTGGCTAGGAGGAGGAGGAGAGAGGACGCTGGCAAGCTTGGGGTCAAGAGGATGGGTGGAGTAAAGGAAATAGAGGCTCCTACTTTGGCTAAAAAGTCCCTTCCCGTTAGGGGAACTGGACAGGCTGGCATTACTAAAAAGGAATGAGTCAAGGGAACTCCCCTAAAAATACAATTAAGTGGTGGAGTCCAGCAAGGCTGGCAAGGCTGTCCCCCTACCCCGACAATAGAGGAACTACAAGGAGAGGTTGGTCCCCAGTACTCCATTAGAACTGAGTAAGTGGCTCCAGTGTCCACAAGGAAGGAGATGGCTCGCCCTGATACAATGATAATTACCCATGGCTCCATGGGTAATTGGATACCTGATACCATGATAATTACTCCATGGCTCCATGATGACAGTGGCCGGGGCAAGGGATTCTGGGCACCTTCAGTCGTCGGTAGCCAGGCCTAGGATATCGGCCGGAGGGTGATCTGGGAGTGATGCCCCCATATCATGGGAGAAACGGTGGCAATCAACACCCCGAGGACCAGAGTTCTATTTCTAGAACCTATACGGTGGCTAAAAAACTGCCCAACTCCAGTCCCAGGGGATCAAATGCTTTCTTCTGGCCTCTGTGGGCACTGCGTGCACGTGGCACACATAATACATGTAAGCAAAACACTTATACACACGAAATAAAAATAAATAAGAACACACAGCAGGCGCACATATGAATTCATAGCAGTTGTGACAGCATATACAAGACCTTGCAAAAGCTCAAGCAAGACAAAATGCCGGCAAGGGTTTGGGAGAGAGAGGCACAAAGTCTTATTTGAGGAGATACTGGCCACTGAGAGCTGCTAGGAGTGTAAGCTTTTGTTAAGGATGTGATTCCTGGTAGGTGGACCCATGCTCCAGAGCAGGCTTCAAGCCCAAGAGTATTTGGATGGCACAGCTTAGATATGGGTTTAAAAAGAGAGAGAGAGAGAACATTAAGTTGGGTGGGTAGGTAGGCGGGAGTGCCTCCGGGACAAGGTGTGTGACTATGATCAAAATACATCAAGGTCAGTCAAACATCTTAGAAAGAAATTCTCCGGGCCTCTAAGGGTTAAGATGAAAGAGACTTGTCCATCCTAGAGAGGTCGGAACCGAGTGGGTCTTGGGTAGGGTTGTGGTGGAAACTTCCTGTCTTGTCTTCCGGAACTTGGATTGGTGGGGTCGAAAGGAGTGTGTTTCTTTCTCCAAGACCGCTGGGGCGAGTTGGGGTGCAGGCAACCGCTGTGCGGCGACCCCCAGAGGGAGCTCCTATTGGGGAAAGGAGGCGCTGAGCGCTCCCGGACCGGCTCTGCAGCTGCAGGGCGCAGGCGCCGCACCTCCCGGGACTAGCCTGACCGGTTCTTGCAGCACCCGCCCGCCTCTCGGAGTTTGCTGTGCGCTGGCGCCCAGGTGCTGGAAAGCTCAGACGAGCACAGGCTCCCCCTACTCAATTGTCCGCTCTGTACCCGTCCAGCCCACTCTTCTCTGTGCAGGGATCGCCCTTCTTTGCCGTGCACGTCTTGCATGTGCGTGTATTGCCGAGCCCATGTTGCCGAGGGCTGCTTTACTACCGAATTTAATAATATCTTAGAGAAAGTGGTGAGATGCGAGTATTACGCCGACTGGTTGCTTGTAAATATTTAAATAGCAACATGTAAATGAGATAGTATAGCATTTTAGAGACAGTTGCATAGATAGTTGCTGTTGTTTCCTGTTAACAACTGTTGTTTTTCTGTGTGTTTCAGCTTCTTGTTGTTGTTAAATTATGTGTATGAGTGTGTTTGTTGTGTTGCCTGCATATATGTGCACCATTTGCGTGCATGACTAGTGCCCATAGAGGCAAGAAGAGGGCGAGGGATCCCCCGAAATTGGAGTTACGATGGCTGTAAGCAACTATTTGGGTGGGTGGGTGCTAGGAATCAAACCTGAGCTCCCAGGAAGGGCAGCCTTTGTTTGCGCTCAGGTTCTTCTTTTTTGTTCTTGTCAGTACTCTGTGGATGTAATTTCAATCTCTTTCACCTTTATAACAAACCAGTCCTTAATCGCTGTGTGCCCTTGTTGGCTCACTGTGTCTTAAGGCTTGGAAATGTATAAAAGCACAGTTGATGAAGGTACTCTGAGAATTATTTACACCTGGAAATCACTGCTCAGCACAGCTTCCTGCTTTGTCTTGCTGGGATACGTATTGTGAAAGGCAGTGTCCAATCAGCTTGAGACTCAGGCTTGCGCCGCCGCCACTTTCTGATTGTGCAACCTTGGGAAATTCCTCAATACCTTGGGCATACTTGTGAAACCACCTGTAAGATTAGACAAAAATCTAAAATTCTTTATACTCCTCAGACTGATCAGAGAATTAGGAAGCTGATTTATTGTTTGGTATGGACAAGCAGCAGTAGGGGAAGAATTAACATTGTGTATGAATGCCTTTGTCTATCCTTTCAAGACTTGTATTTCCTGAAGTCATGCTGTTCCTAATATATGGACTTAGAACACTGAATAATGACATTGTTGTTATCATCAGAGATAGTTTAGGCTGACACGTATATTGTAGAATCTAGGAGTATGTGTGTGTGTGTGTGTGTGTGTTTGTGTGTGTCCTCTTTTGTATTTAGGAATTGTTATGGGTTATACAAGTGTTCTTTTAGAAAGTGACTCCAAAGGCGTTTTTTTTCCTGTCAACACCAATTTCTCCTTTAGACCCGAAATCAGGTCCTTACTCTTTAGCTGCTTTTTTTGCACCTGTATATGGATTCCTTGTTGTGTTTATGCTTTATTATTCATGCCCTTTCTAAAAAAGTGTGTTGTCTTCTTTAATTAAAAAGGTTTCAGGCTGAAGAGATGGCTCAGAGGTTCTTCCAATAGGTCCTGAGTTCAAGTCCCAGCAACCACATGTTGGCTCACAACCATCTATAATGAGATCTGGTGCCTTCTTCTGGCCTGCAGGCACACATGCAGGCAGGATACAGTAAATAAATGAATCTTTTTAAAAAATTTCTTAGCTACAAATGGACATTAGTATTCATTCTATCTTTGAAACTTGATCCTCAGACTTTAATGCAGAGATAACTATGATAAAAAGTAGTTAAGTTATCATTATAAATACTTTAACAACTTTTTTTAGTTGTGGAACTGGAGAGACGGATTAGCAGTTAAGAGCACTGCCTGCTCTCCCAGAGGACCCACGTTCAGTTCCCAGAACCTGTAAGATGACTCACTACGTTGGTAACTCCAGTTCAGGGTATCTGATACCCTCTTCTGGCCTCCATGCCCTGCACAGACATACATGCAGCAAAATACTCATAGATATATAATAAAGGTAGATCTTATTATTTTTAATTTTAGTTTTAATAGGAATAGGAGACTAACTCTTAATTCTGAACACTTTTTAATGGTCATGCTTCTCATGTTTTTTTTTTTTTTTAGAGTGAGGGTTGGGAAGGGAGGTGAGAGAATAAACTTAACAAATACCACTAAGCATGACCACTGGTTTTTTTCCACATGGCTGTCCATCCTTTGCCTGGTGTGGTCATTGTGATGGAGTGAGGAACAGAGCTGTTGGTTTGGATTCAAATTTCACCACGTGGGAGAGTCTAAAAGCATGAGTAAAGGTGAGGAGTCAAGATAATCTTGAACCTTAGGAAACCTGCTACAAAGTGTGCTGGATACTGTGTGGAAAAGACAATGTTTAAATGGAGCTAATTTTATTTGAATCTGGGCTGTGTCTCTTATAAGTTTGTGACTCAGCCTCAGTTTTGTCATCTTTAAAAAATAAAAATACACCTGCTTGTACATGTTTAGGATTAGTGAAACACATGCAAAGCCACTGTTCCTTTGTTTGTTTGTTTGTTTTTGTTTTGAGACAGGGTTTCTCTGTGTAGCTCTGGAACTCACTCTCTAGTCCAGGCTGGCCTCCAACCTGCCTCTGCCTTGAAAATGCTAGGATTAAAGGTGTGCAGCGCCACTGCTGCACAACAACAGCACCAAAGCTGCTGTTGTTGATAGTGCCCATCCTTATTCCTGTGTTTGCTCATGTTGTAACTGAGTCATTGTCTTGTTTTCGCATCACATGACATTCCACTGATATCCTTTTCTTTCTTTTAAACCTTAAAGCATAGTACATTTATTTTTAAGTTGATATTACTCTTGGGAGTCCCACATTCAGAAGCTTAGTTTGCATAGTGGATAAGAACAACAAATTCACTAGTGAACACACAGAATAACAGTAAGACTAGTTTTAAAACATTTCTCTAGGGGCTAGGGAGCTGGCTCAGTGTTTTAGAGCCTACACAGGTCTTGCGGGTGACCTGAGTTTAGTTCCCAGTACCAACATCAGCAGCTCACAACTGCCAGTTAAGTCTAGTCCCAAGGGGTCAGAGGCCGGTTGGTCTCCGCAGGCCTCTGCGCTCAGATGCACACCCCCCAGCCCTGTTAGTTTATATAAGTCTATTGGACAGGAGCTAGTCATTTGAGAAGGGGGAGCCTCAGCTGAGAAAATGCCTCTACCAAATTGGTCCGTGGGGCATTTTCTTAATTAGATTAATGTGGGAGGGCCAAGCCTGTTGTGTGCAGTGGCAGCCCTGGGCAGATGGTCATGGATGGCATCAAAAAGCAGGCCAAGCAAGCTATGGAAGCGAGCCAGTAAACACACTCTAAATGGTTTCTGAGTTTCTGCCTCTTGGTCCCTGCCTTGAGTTCCCTTAGTAATGGACTGTTACCTGTAAATACAAGATGAAATAAACTCTTTCCTCCCCAAGTTGCTTTTGATCATGATGGTTTATCATAGAAATAGAAAACAAAGGTAAGACATCTCCAAAGACACACATAAACAAACTTTCTTTCTGTGTTTCTTTATTTGTATAAAATGCTTTATGAGTTTTTCCATTGTTATTCTCTCTCAGTTCAGTTCGGAATTTCCTTGTCAGGCAAGATAAGGGACTATGCTTAGATTTTTTTTTATTTTTATTTTTTTTTATTCTTGCAGATGAAAATAAAGATAATGTAGGGACTATTCAAAACCATACACCCAAGGCAGAGAAACTTAAAAGAGAAAGCCCAAAATGGGAAGACTCTACAGGGAAAGAAGGGGCAAAACCTCAGCATGGAAGACGGGGGTCCCCAAAAACATGTCAACACCTCTGCCCAGTGGAATTCGTCCTTTGGTGAGAAGGCCTACAGATGTTCTAAATGCCGGGAAAGCTTCAGCAACAATTCTCACCCGCATACCCACCAGAGGACACACTCAGAAGAAAAAAACAAAAACAAAAACCTTAAAAATGTTCTGGATGTGGGAGAGCCTTTTGTAACTGTTCCCACTCGATTCAGCGTTTGAGAAGCACACAGGGGAGAACCTCTTCCTGCGTGGTGAGCGCGGGGAAAAGCTTCAGCAGTCCTTCCCCTCTTATCCACGAGAGAACTCACACAGGAGAGAAGCCTTACCAGTGTCCTGACTGTGGAAAGGGTTTCTGGAGCAGCTCCCACCTTCGTCAGCCTCACAGATCACACAGCGGCGAAAGGCCATGTGCATGTCCTGTTGGCGGCAAAGGCTTCGGTCGCGGCTATGTTCTAGTAGAACACAGGAGGACTCACACTGGAGAAACACCCTCTAGGTTCCCTGAATGCTGGAAGAGCTTCAGTCAGTTCCAGCCTGATTCGCCACCAGGGGACGCACATAGGTGAAAAGCCCGACAAGGCTTTGGTTGTAACTCTAATAAAGCATCAGAGAACACATTCAGGAGGAAAGCCTGTCCTAAGCGTGCAAAGACTTTCAGTCGAGGTTCAAACCTTTAGCACAATAGACGATGTACACGGGAAGGAAATCCTCTGGAAATACTGAATGCGAAGGAAGTGCATCAGAGCTACAGTGTGACAGAGTGCAGAGTCGAGCCAAGAGGGAAACCATTGTACGTGCTATGAATGTGGAAAGAGTTTCGGCCTCAGCTCCCACCTTATTATGCATCAGAGAACACACGCTGGAGAGAAGTCTTACCGGTGTTCCGAGTATTGGAAAACGTTCAGTTGGAGCTCCACCCTGGTGACTCACCAGAGGACACACGTAGGAGAGAAGCCTTCTAAGTGTCTCGACTGTGGCAAGCCCTTCAGTGCAAGGTTTAACCTGATCAGGAACCAGAGAACCCACATAGGGGAGGAGAAACCTTACAAATGTGTGGGCTTCGAGAAACGCTGCAGCAGAAACGCCCACCTCACTCAGCACTGCAAAAAGCACAGTCAGGTCTCTCAGGCCTCCTCAGTTGGGGCATTTCCTTCATGCGTGGACCCAACAAACCTGTTCAGGGGAAATGGTCCTGAGCCTTTAATTTTCGGCTTCAGATTCTCAAATTCTCCTTATTAAATCATTAGAATTAAGGTGCTATATACTCCTTGCCCTCTGGAGAATCTTTGTTGTGTTTGCTAGAAGATCTGGAAAAAGTCAACTTCCCAGTTTAATGGAAGGGGAGACCCACATCATCAGGGAGAGACACCCCTAAGGTTGAAGAAAATGTTGACATCATTATCATTAAAACAAACAAACAAACAAACAAACAAACAAAAGTCAAAGCCTGGCAGGGGTCACACCCACCCTTAATTCCAACATGTAAAAGGAACTTTTATTCCCCTGTTTCAGTTCTTGTCTGGGGCTTACAGCCTCCTTCTGCTAGCCTCTCTACAATCTAACCTAGGCCTAGACTGTTTCCAGCCTCTGAGGCTTACTGCTAAATAGGCTCACCCATTTTAGTTCTTGCTGGGCTCTGGGCTGGCTGGTTCAACTCAGCTAATTTATTAAATCTGGCCTCTCTCTCGGCCTCTGAATTGCTGTTTGGCCTCAAACTAAGTCAAGCAATCTGCTCTAACCTCCTGGCTCCTTCTCATTCTCTGGCTCATTCGGTCTTTACCTGAATTCTCTCACTGAAAGCTATCTCTATTATTGTCCCGTAAAACTGCCTCCTCTCTAGTGGCATTGCCCATTAAGTAGCTTCCCTTTTCTCTCTCTTCTTGTTGAGAATTGGGCATTTCCTATTCTGTCAATTCTTTCTCTGAGTCGTCACCTTTTCTGCCATTCAATTAGGCATCACTTTCAAACATGGGTGCTTCCTTCTACAAACTAACTTTAGCTTCAGTGGGATTAAAGGCATGTACCACCACTCTAGGGCCTAAGCTTTTCTTTACCTGAAATTTGTTCTATACCACGCTGGCCTTGAACTCATATCTACTTGCCTCTGTCTCCTGGATTAAAGGCATGTTTGTATTTCAGCCGGATCACACAGACCTAGAAGGTCTTTGGATGTGATCTCTTTCCAGAACAGCCATGTTCTGAATTAAAATTTCTCGACATCCCCCCACTCCCTCACCCTCACCCTCAACCGCATAGGTGTATGTATATATGTACACATGTATGTAAAATCAAGGTGAGTTAAGAATATCTTCAAGAAAATATAAAAAGTATTCTTATGACTAAGCAAGAAGACATGTGAAAACTGGAAATTAAGACTGCAACTGAATGGAAATTAGCTCATAACTCCCCTTGTGGGTTTGCCCAGGGAAAGCATCATTTTCAGCAAACAATGTGAGTTCTTGAATGTTTTCTGTGTCTAAAAAAGACAAGATTCATTTTAAACATCCCATTTACTAAATTTTTTTGTAGCATCTAGAACTGTTGTGCCCATGCTATAGACTCAAATCATACATGCTAATATTCAGATGAAATGAAACTTGAGACCCACTTCCTTCCTTGAACCAGCTACTTGCTGGGTTCTGAAGAGCAGCACTGGACTAGCCTAGTGGCTGTGGTGTCACTGAAGTTCTTTCTAGAGCATCATTCTTGATAGGCTTATGGATAATTCCTTTAGTACTGTGACTGTGGCCTGGCGTTTTGTTTCCCCAGAAGAATTAGAATGTTGTGAAAGCGAGATAAGAGTTTCAAAATATTGGGTCAAGAGATCAAGTATGCAACTGTTATGTTCCAATTCATGTTCCATCAAGTGGATTATCTAGTAATGGTCTCATTGTCTTAGAAAGGATCCTGAAATTCCACTGTTAAGTGTGAATGCAGTCTTTTCGCTGAGTTAGTTCTGTGCTTTACCTCTGCACACAGTTCCTCAGCTGCAGGAGTTTTAGTTTGCCTCTTTGTATGCTTCACTTATGGAGCTGACAACCAAGATGTCATCCCATGTTCTGTGGAAATGATACTTTCTCCTCCCAGTGCCCAAAGGTGGGAGTCTTTAGGCAGGTCAAGGCTCCTTTAAATTGCCTAGAATTTCAGCTTACTGCTAGATTTAAGATATGTTTCATGAAGAACATGGAGAGATGTGCATTAGGAACATGGAGCTAGGGCTGGAGAGATGGCCCAGTGGTTAAGAGCACTGGCTGCATCTTCCAGAGGTCCCCAAGGCCCAGCACCCACCTGACTGCTCACAGTTGTTTATTCCTATAGTCCCACGGGTTATATGCCCTCTTCTGATGTGCAGACATACATGTATACGAACATATAAATAAATCTTAAAAAAAACAAAAAACAAAAAAACAAAAACCATGGAGGCAGATAGGGTCAGTTGTGGCTGCTATAAAGGACTAGTGAGTAGTTACATGAGGTATTTCTTTCATTACGGTACAGCACACTGGTTAAGTGTACCTTTTTGAATTGTATCACTAAAAAAAAGACAGCAGAAACGAACAAGCATATTTGAGAAGTACTTAGGGGTGAGTTTCTACTTTTATTTATTTGTTTTTTTTTTGGCTTTTCGAGAAAGGGTTCCTCTGTGTAGCCTTGGTTGTCCTGGACTCGCTGGCCTCGAAATCACAGAGATTGGCCTGCCTCAGCCGGTTCCTGAGTGCTGGGATTACAGGTGTGCGCCACCACACCCGGCAAGGGTCTCCTTTTAAAAAGAGGGAAGATACTGAATTTCACACCGCTCCCACCCATGCATCCCTCTATGTCACAACAAAACCGTCACAATTACCCTAACAGTGACGTCTCAGGACAAGATTTTACAGTATATTTTTTTAAACCATAGATAACTAAGAATTCAGTGAATGCTTGATAATGAAATGGGACTGTTAGGGCTAAAACTCGATTACAAGGCAGTAGCTGTGGGTAGTATAAAATGATCAGTCTCATGAACTTCGGCAGAAAAAGCTCTCAGTTACTTTACTTGTAAAGCAAAAAAAAAAAAAAAAAGGTATTGCCATTCTTGGAGGGTTTCTGTAAGGGCTTAATGTATGTTTGCAAGCTTCCGGCACAGTGCTTAACCCATAAAAGTATTTCATTAAACAGCGTTGCTGTTAATTAGAAGTTTTTTTTTTTTTTCCCCTTCTTTGCTTCTGAGCAGGGTCTCCCTGTGTAGCTTTGGCTGGTCGGGAACACCCTATGCAGATCAAGCTGGCCTCAAACTCCCGGAGCTCTTCCCGCCTCGGGAGTTCTGAGATGAGGGATTGAAAGTGTGCTCCACCTCCCGCGACTCCTCTCTCTTTCAATTGCGTTCCCTGGCGTGTCCCGTCCGCGTGACCCGTGCTCACACCGCCCTCCCGGCTGGGCCCAGCAGCTGGGTTCCGCTGGGTCTCTACACCGCCACCAGGCGTTCCTCCAGAGCGAGCGCCACCCTCCGCAGGTGGGACCTAGGGTACGCCGCGGGAGCCGAGCCGAGCGGACACCGCCCCGTCCGCCCACCGGGCCGGCGCCCACCCCACGCGCCCGCCCCGCACCACGCAACATCGCCCTAGCGCCTCTGCGACTGGCGCCGCGCGGAATGCGCCGCCTGCCATTGGCCAAACGCTCCATAGCGCCATCTCAGCCTACCGCGCGGTGCCCGCCCTCATTGGTCCGGAGCGGCGTGGGAGGCGGGGCCTGATCGCGGGGCGGTGCCCGGCCGGAGCCCCGCCCCCTGGTCCCTCGCCTGGGCCGAGCCCGGCGGGCGGCTGAAGCGCGTGGGGCCGGGCTGCGAGCGGGGCTCGCGGCGGTTACTCTGGTTACTGTCAGCAAGGGATGCTGGGGCCCCGGCGGTCTGGCGTCCTCCCTGCGCTCTGACCGACGTTCTCTCCCGAGACGGCCATTCACTCTCGAGGAAGGCCAAGTGACGGTCGGATAGGTACGGGGCCGTGCCTTCGGGGCTCGCTGAGGAGAGATTTCTAGGGAGGGCTGTGCTGCCCGGCTCCTGCCGCGCTTCGGGGCGCCGTGGCCATCTTTTGTTGGAGAAGGCTGCCGGGCCAGTGTTGCTAGCTTTCCCAGCACCCAGATCCTTCTGCGCCCCCAACTCCTGCCGACCAAGCACCTGCAGCTGCTGACAAAAAGACCTTTTACAGCCCGACGAGCGGACATCGGAGTATTCAGCTACTCTCGCCGCTTAGCTCGAGAGAGAGAGAGAGAGAGAGAGAGAGAGAGAGAGAGAGAGAGACACCTGTCTGTAAGTTGGCTGAATGAAGAAGTGTCTGCTCAGGAGCTCTTGGAGGAGGCAGGCTTTAAATGCTGCTTTCTAAGACCGGGACAACTTAAGAGACGCTTGTACTCTCAATGATTTCAAAATTTGATCTCGTCTGACTCTTGATTCTGAAACTATTGACAGGAAGGAGTTCGGCCTGTGTCCCGGGCCCCTTTTGAGAACTACATTTTGAGGAGAACCTTTTAATCGCCAAAACCCTCCCGAGGGGAAAAAAAAAGACCTTAAAAGCCCCCAAACACAAGAATCCTCAGCCTTGGCTGGTGCCACCAAAGAAGCTTTTTGAGCCATGTGGACTTTTCTTGGCATTGCCACCTTCACCTATTTTTATAAGAAATGCGGGGATGTCACCCTGGCCAACAAGGAGCTCCTGCTGTGCGTGCTAGTGTTCCTGTCGCTGGGTCTGGTGCTCTCCTACCGCTGTCGCCATCGAAACGCGGGCCTCCTTGGCCGCCAGCAGAGCGGCTCCCAGTTCGCTGCCTTCTCGGATATTCTCTCTGCTTTGCCTCTTATTGGTTTCCTCTGGGCCAAGTCACCCTCCGAATCAGAAAAGAAAGAGCAGCTGGAGTCCAAGAGGGTAGGGCTGATTCCACATTGGGCAAACGAACGGGATCTTATTTTAAACTTAAGTTCGAGGTCACTGGAGTTTACAGTTTTCTTTAAAAGTCGAGAAAGTGAATATTAGAAGCTTCAATAGTCTCATTTAGTTGGGTTTTTGAAAAAAGTTTCCGACTGTGCTGTGGCTTTGATCCTTGATTTTAGGGAAGATCGAAAACATTCGTTTCAGATCAACTTAGTGTTGCCTGATCCTCACATAGGGGTTGAATTTGATAGGAAATGTGAGGATTTCTTTTGGAAGACAGAATCACCGTGGCTTTTATTTAAATCTCTGGATAAGGAAAGGATTGTGTGGCTGGTAAGGCCACTTATAAAAGTGACAGCTGACTGGGGAAAGTGACAACATTTGAAAAGCAATAAAAATGCTCAACACTTTAAAGTCTTGGGCAAAAATCCCTCCTCTTGCTAGCCATTGAAGCAATGACTAAATAGAGTGCAGTCAGGTCCTAAGTCAAGTAATAGTTGAGTGATGGTCCTAAGTCAGAGGCTGAGTCTTAAAATATTTGTGATGTTATTACTGTGAGGAAATGATGGGAGCCAAAAGTAGAAGACAGATTGTGTAGGGGCTATTGGTTGTAGATATTTGGACTTTTTCCTCTGAAGAGCACTGAAAAGATTTAAGAGTGAGACCAACCGCCCTTGATTATGTATGTATGTATGTATGATGTGTGTATACACACACACACACACACACACACTCACATAAAATATTTGGAAAACATTGTGATATGCAACAGTGAAAGGGCTGTTGGTATAAGGCAATAATAGCAATGATAATAATATTTGGGAAATACATTGCTGCATGTAACAGTGAAAGCAGGGCTATTGCTATGAGGCTGTAGCATGGTTCCCAGTGTAGCATGGAAGATAGCCAGGATGAATTAATTACCCACAAAGCAGTGCAGACTTCTGGATCTGCTTTATTGTGTCATATCTATAGTACAGATTAGTAAGTTTGATAGAAGAAGGGGACTTGGCCCTGAATTTTGGCTGTGCCACTTCTGGCTGTGGCGCTTCAAGAATGGGTTGATTTCTGTAAGAATCAGTTTCCTGTTCTGTTAAGATGAGGGTTGTACCACCCTCACTGTAGTCAGGGAATTAAGTGGCTTCATATTTGCAGAAGGCCTGCTGCATAACCATCTAATAAGTAACTAGCTCTTGCCTCTAATCCACAGGTGGGATGCTCTGTTAGGAGTGGGTAGGATGGTCAGCAGTCAAGCTGGTTTCATGTTGTGACTGCTTCAGGCTCTCTCCTTACCTGGAGAGCATGGAGCTGCTGGAGTAAGTTCTGCTGAGTGCTCGCTGAGGCATACATAACATGGAAAGTTAGAAGTTACGAGAGACTGCACCTGCGGATACTCAGTGTACACTTGCAGAGTTGAGTAGTTAAAGGGTGGGATTTGTCCTAGATTGTGTCTTTGAATGTTGCTATAGACATTTATGGTATCTGACCTCATGTGGATTTCTATATATGCCCATGTAATATTTTCTAATTACTGTGTAGAAAAAGGAATATATATTTAATTTTATTGGCATGTATACATTTCTATTTAGCCAGCATTTTGATCCTGATTTTTATATATGGTTTGGATTTAAAATCATACCATTACCATTAATTTGGTTTAATAATGTTTTGTAGTCTAGCTTTTGCTCAAGATGTAAAAGTCCAGTATGTTTATGTCATAGTTATATTATTAAGTCAACAGACTTGGAAGCTAATATCTTTTTTTTGTTAAACAGTGCAGAAAAGAAATCAATGTTTCAGAAACAACATTAACAGGAGCAGCTACCTCATTATCGACATCTTCACAGAATGACCCGGAAATTATCATTGTGGGATCTGGTGTACTTGGATCTTCTTTGGCAGCAGTTCTTTCCAGAGATGGGAGAAAGGTGACAGTAATCGAGAGAGATTTAAAAGAGCCTGACAGAATAGTTGGAGAACTTCTGCAGCCAGGTGGCTACCGTGTTCTTCAAGAACTGGGCCTCGGAGGTAGGTTCATCTAATCTTGAGAGTTAGTTGGTGTAAATAAGTGTTCTTCACTCTGGTTTGTTCTGCTTTCCTTCATTATGAATTTTACATTTACTAAAAACTTTATGTGAAAATGAGAGCAAAGGAGAAACAAGGTAGTATGAGAAGAAGAGGCTGCCTCTCGGCATAGCGAGATGATGAAATGCCTGAAAAAATGAAACGTCAAAAACGAAGACATTAAGTTCAGTAGCCAGAACTATCATTTATAGAGTTTGTAATATGTTCTCTGTGTGGTTTTTCTTTAAGGATGATTCATTCACTCAGCCAGTGCTTTTTAAGTACTTCTTGCATTCATTTAGGAAGCGCTTATTTCCTGCTGTGTTTGAATGAGGTGTTATACTGAGTACCAAAGACTACTACTGATCAGGACACATTCTTGAAGAGTAGAGCGCAAAAGGTGCTTAGCTATAATGTGAGTCTGGTGCTAGAGGAGGCCAGAAGATGTTGTTGGAGCCCCTGGAACTGGTTGTGGGCATTGAACTGTGGTTCTCTGGAAGAGTAGTCAGTGATTTGCCAGCTAAGCCATCCCTTGAGAAACACTTTTAATGGCAGGAAACAGAAATAGGGCAAAATTAGATAGGGATATAAGGACAATGAAGATGTATTTGGTACAAGAGTATCTTTTAGGGAAATGCATGATAAAGTAGAAGAGAAGCTGATGATGTGGCTGAGAGTGACCAATAGATTTTTTTAAGGTGATGAATATGCTGAGTTCCATAATTTTCTTGTCAAGGTACATGAGTTCAACCCATTAACTTATAAACACATAGCAATTGTTCTATGTCAGTGACAAGTATAAAAAGAAACACATACGTTTTCTCCCGAAATGTCATGCCCATTGTTATCAGTCAAGAGAAAACAGGCAGGGAGAACTCAGTGATGTTGCCTGGAGCCAGAGTTTAATCACCACATAGGTTGCTGAGAAGGATCCCTTCAACAAATACTTTTCAAACATTGACAAGTAGAATTCGTTCTACTTTCTGAGACTACATCTTCGTGGATGTTAAAGACGGTGTGCTAAAGGACAATACATTTTTTAATAAAAAAGTAGATAAAGTATATGAAGGTTATAGGGACTAGAGAAAAATCAGAAAGAGTGGGATAGCGAGTTTCGGGGTGGGCATAATTTTTGATAGTGAGAAGTTACCTTTGAGTAAAGAAATGAAGGAGGAAAGTAAGCCTTGGATATACTGGGAGAAAATGAAGTCCAGGCCTTGCTTTTGCTTTCTGGGAAGAACCACCAAGCCTGCTTCATTGGGCCAGGAGGAAAACTCAACTAAAGAAAGTGGCAAATAGGTAGTGAAGGGAAGCCAGTGGAAATTTAAGGAGCTACAAAGGCATACATTTTAAGCGTGCTCGGCGTGGTGGCACACACCTTTAATTTTGGCACTCCAGAGGCAGAGGCAGGCTTGAACTGAAACTCATTATTGGGTAACCAGCTATCACCAAGCTCCTTAGGCTTTTCACCTCTACCTAAAAATCTTCCCACTATTTGGCTACACAGACGGGTTCATTCGTAAAATTGTTGTTAAGTAGCTCGTTTGGTGATCTCTGTGAGTTCAAGGCCAGCCTGGTCTACAAAGTGAGTCCAGGACAGCCAAGGCTACACAGGGAAACCCTGTCAAAACATTTATTTGTCTTGCCTAAAAGTATATTCTGAGTAGGAAAAAAGATCACGGCAAGCAGTAAGGTCAGAAATGAGGTTATCTGGGAGCGATTGCATAGTCATTAAGAGCTGATGACTTAGAACACAGTCACAGTTGTGCAGGTGTTTGAAGTTGGCACATATTGGAAATCTGTTTTGCAGGAAGAGTGCATAGAACCTGCTGATGAATCAAATGTTAGGTGTGAGAAAGAGAAGGGTGGTAGAACTTCCGTGAGACTAACTATGGCCAGAAAGTCCAGGACTGAACTCTGCGACATGAAGGAAGGTATGGAGATCAGTGAGGGGATGGGGAGCCAAAGCAGAGCACAGAAGAAGCAACCCAGAGGAAAGCAAAAAGACTCTATGCTCTGGAACTAGACACAGACATGGCTTTCCAAAGAAGGAAGGCTCCATGGCTATCCTTTTACGTCCTTAAGGGACCACCTTGCACTTAAAGCAGATGTGTCGTATCCAGAAATGGGGTTTTGTTAATCTTACATTTGCGTTTCAGCCAATCAGAAATGATTTCAAACTAAAGACAGAATTTTATAAATCTAGACTCATGAAACAGGCTCATGATTGTGGCTACAAGACCCAGTGGATTCTTTTTTATTTTTAAAGATTTATTTGTGTGCATGCATGTGTGTATGCTTAGTGCTTATGTCTGTGTCTGTGTGTGTATGCACCGTGAGTGCAGGTATCTATGGAGGAGTTGTACCCCACACCCAGGAGCTGGAGTTACAGGTGGCTATGAGCCATCTGATATTGTTGTTGGGAATTGAAATGGGGTCCTCTGGAAGAGCTATGCATTCTCTTAACCATTGAGCCATCCCTTCAGCCCATCCAGGGTATTGGGTACAGCCTTCCAAGTATTTTAATTAATATACCTTTACTATCACCAGTAATAATCCTTGAAACATTAACTGTTAATTTCCCCTCAGATCTGATGAGCTCTATATGATAGAATTACTTGGAGATAGAAGGCTTTTTAAGATAATACCAAGTGGTCCATTCTGGCTGTGGATTTTTAACTAGTGAACTGATTGCCATGTAGCTTGTACTGACTACCCATAAATATTGTAACTAATGCATTATAATTTAAGTTCTATATGCCTATAACATGTGGTATTCACTACCCTCAACTTTATTTTTTTAGTATTGGTTTTTGTTAGATTCTCCCTTTTGTATATAATTTAGAGTCAGGTTTTTAAGTGCTGTGGAAAAAGCATTTCCAAGATCATGATTAAAAAGCATTGAATATATAGTTCAATTTTGGGAAAATTGACATCTTTTAGATACTTCTTATCCATGAAAGTGCTGAGCTCTGCATATACTTAATTTTTTTTTTTTTTTTTTTTTTTTACATATTTACAACTTCTCATGTCTTGTGGATTTTGATGACATTTATTTGTAGAACTCTGGTTTAAGTTCTAGCTTTCAGTGTTTTTTGTTGTTGGCTTTCTTCAGCTTGAAGTAAAGAGCTTTGCATGAGGTCAGAACACAAAGTTGTGTTTGGGTTTCTTTTATTTTTTGAGGCATGGGTCAGGTTATGTAGCCATTGCTAGCCTGGAATTTATACTTTGTAGGCCAGGCTGGCCTCAGAGAGATCTGCTTGCCTCTCTGCTGGGATTAAAGGCGTACCACCATGCTACTCCTGTACTTTTAACCTACAGTGGATGGAGTACTCCAGGCGTAGGATAATGGTGTGCTGCTCTTGCAGGGGACCTGGGTTTGGCTCCTGGCATTCACATGGTGGCCAACAAGTATTTGTAACTCCACTTTCAGGGGATCCAGTGCCCTCTGGACTCCAAAGGCATCAGGCATACACATAGCACACATACATAAGTGTAGGTGAAACACTCATAATAAAAAAAAGTGAACTATTAAAATATAAATTTATTTTGATGCTGGGACTGTCCCAATCCCTAATACTGAAGTTTTGGGCACATACCACCACACCAGGCTTGTTCTAGTTTGTTCACTGACTCTATATTGCTTTGTCTGAATCATTTCTATACTTTTTGTTCATTATTTTTTGTATGTTAATTCTTTTAGTGAGTAAATTTTATGCATAAATAGTAATGCTTTATTTTGTTTGATATTTTTTTCTAAACACTTAATTGCTGTTAAATTTCTGACTGGTTTTTAAAAAATGTTTTCTTTTGTATTATTATTATTATTATTATTATTATTACTATTATTTCTTATAGTGCCTTAGATGTAAAAAACCCAGTTTTGATTTGTGTTTTATGTTTTGGTTTTCTTTCTGTTCCCTATTCCACCTTTTTTACACATTTAGTCCCATCTACTGCTCACACCATATGGACTTGATTGTAATAAACACTCAGACAAAAACAAACAAACCAACAAAAAGCCCAGTTTTACTGAGCGGAATGAATATTTTTCTCTGGTTTTCTGTTCAATTAACTAAAATTACTCTGCAATGCATCTTGAATCGATTTTCATATACAGTAGGAACCATCAGCATTTGGGAAATATCCTCATTCTGTTTGGTTGGGGAAATCTACATTTTTAGATACTGAATCTTTATGTTTAAATTGGGACCTTTTAAACAGTTTTAATGCTATTTATGTTTTCTTTTCCCCTCCCTTCTTCCTTTCCTCATTCCTATACTTATTTCTGCACTGGGACACATGTTTAGAAGGACCAACTGTTCTCTTTATGAAGAGCAGATTCACTCAGGAGAGGAGCATGGCTTACTTCATTTCATGTTGCATTTCTTTCTTGTCTCTGAGAAGAGGTCACAGTCTCAATGACTGTGCTGTTAACTTGAAATGCAGCTGTGGGTTTTGTCTTCCGGAAACAGTTAAGATTTGTGTCATAGATCTATCGGTTGTTCAGTTCTCTGACTGGTCTTCCAGCTTTGTAAAGCAGAGCCTTTATTTTCATTCTTTATGTTTGTTTCTTGGTAATTCTCAGCATATTAATACAATTGTTTGAACTGAACTCTTTTGCAGATACAGTAGAAGGTTTTAATGCCCAGTTTGTACATGGCTACATAGTTCATGATTGTGAAAGCAGATCTGAAGTGCAAATTCCGTACCCGGTGTCAGAAAACAGTCAAGTGCAGACTGGAATTGCTTTCCACCATGGCAAATTCATCATGAGTCTCCGGAAAGCAGCTATGGCAGAGCCCAAGTAAGACCACAGCTTTGAATACGTAATGTTAGAGAACCAAACCTGGGCCCTGGGGTGATGGGTTAGCTGTTAAGAGGACTTTCTGTTCCTGCAGAGGACTTGAGTGTGGTTCCTGTCACCCATATCAGCTAACTCACAGCCCTCGGTAGCTCCAGCTGTGGAGACTCAAGGCCCTCTTCTGCCTTCCTCAGGCATCTGTACACGTGTTTGTGCACATAGGCACACATAGAAAAGAAAAGATACGTTCTTTTATGCAAGTGAGATTTCATTGGTGTTCAATGAATTGGCATAGTCTAGATGGCATATATGGAATGAAATAATCCATAATTAAAATAAAGAATACTAGAGAATTTTACTGTAAGAATGAGGTGATTATTATTTAATTGGGATTTAGAGGGCTGCATCAGTGCTATACCTAAGGCATATGCTCATATTTGCTCATTTGAGTCTGTGTTTGTGGTTATTATACCTTTTCTAGAAAGAACAGAGGACTGCAAGAAGAAATCCTTGTTCTACTTTCCCTGAGGACCTAGTCTGACAGGCCTGGCTACTTGTCTTGGTTATTAACTTGTTTTTGCCTTTTGCCCTTTAACAACAGTTAAGGAAGTTTAAATATGAGAGCACTCAAGAGGTTGACACAAGGCTACGTGCTGACAAAGTGAAGTCGGTGGACTTTTCCTTAGGGCTGAAATGTCCAGTGCTCACAGAAGTAGAGCGCTTACTCTATAAAAGTGGGAATATGCCTTAGGAAGTTGTGTCTTTCTGATGGATATGATTACTTTTAAAATTTGTCATATACCATTTTATTTAAAAATATATATATATATAATTTTTCAGAATTTCGTATATGTTTACATTGTATTTTGGCCCTATTTATCCTAACTCCTCCCAGATCTACCTCACCGTGTTCTTATTTTTTCCACGTTTATGTCTTTTTATAAATTTATGGCTCATTGAGTATATATGACCACTTATATACTCGTGGGCAGGAGGCTATCCACTGGAGCATGTCAGCCTCTCAGATACCACATCCCTAAAGAAAGGCAACTGACGCCCCTAGCAGCTGTCAAGTGTTCATTGCTTCTTTGGGATGGGGGCTTGAGAGCCCCCTCCTCCCTCCATGCTGGAGTGTAGGCTGGCGCGATCTTGCGCAGGCACCCACAGCTGCCATGAGTTCATGAGTGCAGTGTCTCATTGTCCAGAAGACACTGTTTTTTGCTTCTGTCCCCCAGCCTATGGCTCTTACATCCTCTCTTTGTGCAGTGGTCCTTGAACCTCGGGGAGGGTGTGATACGGATGTCCTTTCTATGGCTGAGCATGCCATAGACGCTTACTCTGCACTCTGGCCAGTTGTGAGCTTCTGTATTAACCACTTTCCACTGCACAGAGAAGCTTCCAGTGAGCTGTGAGACTGGCACTAATCTATGAAGTTAGAGGGCATTTTGATATTATGCCCACTTAGCATATGCAATTTTAATAATTCTCTTTTATGTATGACTGTTTGAGAATCAAGTTTCTCCGTATTTTTTTTTAATGGATGATTAAAGACATGATGCAACTTTAAACCTACGTTTAAAATAGTTATATTTGTCATACGTACCAAGTGAAAACCACACATAATTATAAACAGGCTGATGGCTTTCTGCTTTGTGAAGCTGCAGACTTTTTGCTGTGTATATGCATGCACACACGTGTCCAGTTTCTGTGAGTGCGGGAGTTAGAGTAGGGACGGTATCGTAGCTAAAGGAAACTGCTCCAGTGTGCTGCTCTAGCAATGTGTTTCTGTTCATTCTTTAGCGTAAAGTTTATAGAAGGTGTTGTGCTTCAGTTACTAGAGGAAGAGGATGCTGTGATAGGGGTGCAGTACAAGGACAAGGAGACCGGAGACACCAAGGTGAGATGGACTTATGTCATGTCTTCCCAAGAGGTGCTTTTCCCAGCCCTTTAAACTTGTGCATTAGCTTGTATGTGTGTGAGTGTGCATGTCACGGTGTGTGAGGGGGTCACAGCGGGTTCTCCCCTTCCGCTTGAGATGGGTCCCCAGGATGGAGCTGTGTTACTGGATACGTTGTGGAGAGTCAGAACTAGGAAAGTGTTGAAGTCAGGTAATAGTGAAAGCTTCTAGCTTATGTTAGTGTTAGTCTGTTAAAGAGGAGGAGGCAGTGAGCTTCTAGGCTGTTCTACAGGCTCAGCCCTTCCTAGAAACTGGACTCTGATAGGGTTACAGGTTTTCTTTGCTCACAGTGTAGTAATGTCAGAACATGTCTTCATGTTTATAAAGGTGCCTCTTCTGTCTAGCCACTCATATATAGCACCATGTGCAGTAGGTAATTTTATAATGAATCCAGGTAGTTCTCAATGTTTGTAATGAGGTCCAGTCTTCTGTGGCCCCTGCTTGCCTTGAAGTTCTTCCTTTTGTCCATCATGGTGGAGAGTGTTGATAATTTCCATGGCATTGCTGCAAAGGGAGGCAACCTCAAAAGTGCTGCTAAGGGTTAGGCCTTCATTCTCGTCCATCCACAGCATGCTTTAATGCCTTTGAGACAATACATTGTTGAATATTTCCTGTATACTTTCTGTTTTAGAAGAACGTGCGTGCATCTAACCATTTGCTGGGTGTTGTTCCTCTGTGTCACAGGAGCTGCACGCCCCGTTGACTGTGGTTGCAGATGGGCTTTTCTCCAAGTTCAGGAAGACCCTCACCTCCAATAAAGTTTCTGTCTCATCTCATTTTGTTGGCTTTCTTATGAAGGTATGGAGGAGTGTAACTGTAGAAAAGTAAAAGCAACTTGAAATTTGAAAGCTATTAAAGTATTTTCTTTTCTTTTCTTTTTTAGAATGCACCACAATATAAGGAAAATTTTGCGGAGCTTTTACTGATCAATCCAGGTCCGGTTCTCATCTACCAGATTTCAGCCAGTGAAACTCGGGTGCTTGTCGATATCCGTGGAGACATGCCAAGGAACTTAAGAGAGTACATGGTTGAGCACATTTACCCACAGATACCTGGTAAGAAGTGGGACTTGATCCTCACTGTAGTCTGTGATCTAAAGCCAATCTCACAAAGGCCTCTTTCTAGTTTTTCTGAAAGCAGTGTCTAAAAGAGGCCCAAAGATTAGCATAGCTGTTTGTGCACTGCAGCGTATTTCCTGTGATATCAGAATATGTCGATGCTACAAGCTAAATATAGAGAGCGGTTCATTCCTTAACACGTATAGGAACTGTGTAATGGATAATTTTATTAATAAAGTAGATAACTGGTGATCTATTGCAAGGGACTCTGAAACAGGCACAACACGTCTACAGTTAAGAATTTTCTTCTACTTGATAAGAAGATGTGTGCAAATGTGAAACTGAAATGCTCACCTCACTTGTTTGGATGGGTGGGGATTAATTGCAGATCACCTGAAGGAGCCATTTCTGGAGGCATCTCAGAATGCTCGTCTGAGGACCATGCCAGCGAGCTTTCTTCCTCCTTACCCAGTGAACAAACGAGGTATCTTTTGGCATTATTTTATAATGTAGCCATTACTTCAAACGACATGTGATGAATTTTGTGACCTGGTGGTAACTTGAAGCAGAGAATTGCTTACCTTGGAGAAAGAACAGGAGAAGGAGTATTGGTTACCTTAACAAGTTCCCAACATCAAAGTTTTTGATATAATTATTTTTTAACTCAGGCTTTCTAGAAGACAATGTGGCAGTCATTGGGAATACATCAAGGGAGTTAAAAGTTTCCCTTTGGCCTGGAGGAAACCAGTTTTGTGGTTAGGAGCATGAAGATGAGTTTCTAATGGTATTGGAAACAGTTCCCATAAAACTGCATTCACGGTAGCATGGATTTACTGTTTGAGGATGGCCAACGCTGGTTCTGAAGTAGAAGGGTGGCTAGGGAAGACATTGCGTAGGTATAAAGCTGCACTGGGTCTGGAAGGTGGACAGTGGGAAGGAGAGACTGAGAAGTAATGGAATCTGCAAAGCCTGTTCCCAGGCTGGCTGAGATATGGTGGCATTTCATGGAACTCCAGGAGATTTCTGTAACTGGCATTTTGGGCAGGTGTCACAGTGATTGATAGCTAGGGTATAGTTCTGTTTTTAATTTATATTTTAAAGGTTTATTATTTGTGTTTTGGAGACAGGGTCTCATTGTGCAGTCCTGCCTGGCCTAAAACTTGCTATGTAGAACAGTCTGACCTCCAATTCAGAGATCACCAGTCTCTGCATCCTGAGTGCTGGAATTGAAGTGCAAGACCATGCCTGGCTAAAGATTTAATTTTACTTACATGGATGTTTGCCATGTATGTACAGCGCCTCAGAGGCTAGAAAGAGGGTATCAGAATCCCATCCCTGTAACTGGAGCTACAGATGGTCTTTATGTAGGTGTTGGGAACCAAACTTAGACACTCTTACCTTTTGAGCCATCTCTTAAGTTCGCCACCCTCTCCAACACTTTTTTTTTTTTTTTTTTTTTTTTTGAGAAAAGGTCTGATATAGCCAAGACTGTAACTATGGTTGAGGATGACCTTGAACTTCTGGTCATCTGTCCTACTTCTACTTCCCAAGACCTGAGATTTTAAGCAGACACCATATGTGGGGCAGGATATGTGTTTAATATTTAGTTTTATCTATACAGACAGTAGAACTGTATACATTTAGTTTTTGGCAATGGCTTTGTTGATAAAAAGATCATAAGTTGTTCAGTTCAACCACAGCAGATTTAATTATAATTCACTCTTGGGATATTTCAGCTCCCGTCAATCTTAAGTTTGTCAGCACTAATTTTTTGTCTCAGTTGTTTAGGGCTTCATAATCTTACTTCTCTTCCCACAGGCGTCCTTCTCCTGGGAGATGCATATAACCTGAGGCACCCTCTTACTGGTGGAGGAATGACAGTTGCTTTCAAAGATGTAAAATTATGGAGAAAGCTGTTAAAAGACATTCCTGACCTTTATGATGATGCTGCTATTTTCCAGGTAAGAATCTAGAATTTTCCTCCCTCAAAATGGCTCAAAATACATTTCTGTTAGGGATGAGCAGAGTGGGGCCCCAATGGGAATCTGTGCTTGAGAGATTGTGTGTCGTAATGGTCCTTAGTCTTGTTTGGGTTTAACAAGCCTGACTTTTAAACTGAACTTTAATGCCTGTGCTTTAGGCATTAAAGTTACACCAATCTGTTACACCAGATTGACTTAGCCCACTCTGCTCAGAATCATATCACCTATTGCTCTGAAAATGAGTTTGGCAATAATACCTGTAGGCAGGCCTTGGGACAGATATCATTTTGAGATTATAAATGTTAGCTTATGCTTTTCTTCTTACTATGGAATAAAGGTATTTTTCATTTCTAGGCCAAAAAGTCATTCTATTGGTCAAGAAAAAGGACCCATTCCTTTGTTGTGAATGTGCTGGCTCAGGCTTTGTATGAATTATTTTCTGGTACAGATGGTAAGTAAAGATGATTTTAAGGGGACAGTAATGATTTTCAAATTTTCTCAGGTAAAGGACTAAATTTCAAAAGTTCATAGTTACAGTAGTTAAGTCTGTAATCACAATTTACCCAACTTTGCCAACTGCCAATTTGCTAGTTCCTTTTAGTGTCTAAGCATGATGTCAACCACTTCACCAGAGGCTGTTGGCTTTCCTTAGAAAAACACTCCTAACAGTGTCTAGTAATGCAGTCATTCAATTCGTCCGGCCCACACTAGAGCATATATATCCTCACATGGAAAATGCTGATAAAGAGTCTGTCTGGCAGGTATGGAAAAGCAATGGGGCCTTTTACTTCTTACACTAGTTTGAATTTTTTTTTTTTTTAAAGTTTTATTTACAACATGAAATAGGTGCCTCAAACTGAGGCTGGGGCTTCTTTCCTGTTTCAGTGTACTAGTGGCACTCGTTATAAATAGCCACGTGCTTTGTTTTGTTTTCTGCATTGTAGAGAGGTTGGCCATTCTGTCCAGGGTGAGCATGCCTATTAGTGAAAATCTGAGATTCTGAACTAGGCGTGGATGTGTGCTTGCTTTCCTAGCCATTAGGAAGCTGAGGCAGGATTGGGAGGTCAGCTCGAGCTACATACTAAGATTCTAGACAAATGACACCAGCACGGTGTGTCTCAAACCAAATGGCACTCTGGCATTTGTACCTCCTGCAGCTGCATCACATGCTCACAATCATAAATACAAATCTTTCTTTCTTTCTTTCTTTCTTTCTTTCTTTCTTTCTTTCTTTCTTTCTTTCTCTCTCTCTCTCTCTCTCTCTTTCTTTCTTTCTTTCTTTCTTTCTTTCTTTCTTTCTTTCTCCTTTCTCTCCTTCCTTTTTTCTTCCTCTCCCTCCCTTTCCTTCCTTCCTTTTTTCTCTTTTTCTTTCTTTTTCCTTCCTTCCTTCCCTCCCTCCCTCCCTCCCTTTTTCTTTTCTTTTCTTTTCTTTTTTTGAGACAGGGTTTCCCTGTGTAGCCTTGAGTGCCCTGGACTCACTTTGTAGACCAGGATGGCCTCAGACTCACAGAGATCCACCTGCCTCTGCCAGGGCTATATAGAGAGACCCTGTTTCAAAACAACAACAACAAAAAAAAATTAGTTAATAATTAGGAAAGACAGCCAGGCATGGTAGCATATGCCTGTAATCCTAGCACTCTGGGAGGCAGATGCAGGTGGATCTTTGTAAGCTTGAGGCCAGCCTGGACTACAAAGGGAATCCAGAACAGCCAAGGCTACACAAAGAAACCCTGTTTCAAAAACTGGCCACTCCCCTGCCAAAATAAATTCGAAAAGACCTTAATAAAAAGAAAGAAAAATCTAGGCACCTCCAAAGAACACTGACCCTAAACTGTTAAAGGTTATTTATTATGCTGTTTTGAAGGCTTCGGAATGTATTAAAAACTTATGTGGATATAGGCAGAGATTCACTTCTTGATAGCCTAATGTTGTCCTGGGACTAGGGGCTAGACTTTTCAGAACCTAGGAGTTTTTTGCTAGAATTGTGTTTTTATGGTAAGAGCTTACAAAGTATTTAGAATCATTTAATTTACAACAAAATCATACGTAACTTAAAAGTAATTCATAAGACCTAAGTATTAGCAGAATTAGCAGAAACAGATATTCATACTCTTCCCCTCTAGAGTATTGATTCGGGAATGTGAAGAACTCCTGGTTGAATTCTAGGACTGCTAAGAAATTGTCATATTTTCCATCTTTATGTCTTCATTATTTTTTCTGACATAATCACTAATACTCTTAAATAATTTCTGTATTTATTTTAGATTCTTTGCATCAGCTACGGAAAGCTTGCTTTCTATATTTTAAACTTGGTGGAGAATGTGTGACAGGTCCCGTTGGGCTACTTTCTGTGTAAGTACTAACAGCAGAAGGGAAACACTCAGTTCACGTGGTCTTTATCCCATGGACATTTAATTACATTCTGTTACTAACTCCTGTCCCAGTCACAAGTGGCCAGTATGATGTCTCAGTGGGTAAAAGTGCTTGCTGCACAAGCTTGGCATCCTTAGTTTTATCCCTAGAGCCCATGTAGACGAATGGACACTACAGAGTTGACCTCTGACCTCTACATGTGTGCTGTGGAGTGTGTGCCCTCCCCTATGTACATGCGCATGTGCACACACTACAAAAGAAAAGATTTAAAAAGTGGCCTCAGGAAATAAAGGGCAGCAGTTAGCATGGTGTTGTCCTGAGATAGACACACTGCTTAGAAGTGGTGGATTGAGGTGGCCGAACCTTTGAGTAAAACTGACAATTGGTTTTCACCTGTGGTGTCTTTATATGTCCGACCCACAGGAGCCAAGAAGTACTGAGTACTCTGAATTCAATATTAATCTTCCTGGCTTGAAATCTAGGCTGTAGTTTGGCTAATAGACATACACTTGGGAAGTCTGAGAAGGGAAATTCTTCAAGGCACCTCTTCTTCATCTACAATCACAGGTCTGATGCCAAACTCAGACTGTAGCAGGCTGTCTAGTACTTCATTTTAGATCTTAAGATTAGTGAAAGAAAACAGCTAAAAAAGGATGACGTAAGAGTGAGTACAGCCACTGGCTTCTTAAAGGGGTTATTTTAAGTAGTATTTAATAATGGAAAAATTCATTCTTGCTATCAGATATAACAGGCAGCTGAGCTGGTCAGGTCCTCAGATGTGGAGTGCTTTAAGCTCTTGTCGATGGCCTCCATGACTAACTTTAAGTCCATTTCTTTTCTGTTACAGATTGTCTCCTCACCCTCTCGTGTTGATCCGACACTTCTTTGCCGTTGCAGTCTACGCCACATATTTCTGCTTTAAATCAGAACCGTGGGCTACAAAACCGCGAGCCCTTTTCAGCAGTGGTGCTGTCCTGTACAAAGCGTGCTCTGTGATAGTTCCGCTCATCTATTCAGAAATGAAGTACCTGGCTCACTGAAGGGGAAACCACTTGAAAGTCAAGTCCATTGAGACTTGAGGATGTATATAGTATAGAACTGTGTGACTTCCACAGTGGAGACTCAAGGACCACGCTGTGTACAAGCATGTAAATATATGCCTTAATTTACGGCTGAAAATGAAGGGTCAAATAAGATGTTTAAAAGGATGATTGTTTCCACAAATTAGTGCTAACACTCAGATTTTTCTTTTGATTTCAATATTTGGGGTGATTCATTGGAACATGCCAATAAAATGAAGAGTGAACTCTTAGGCTCTTGGTTTTTGTTAAAGACTTCTTTATATAGCTTCATGGTCACAGAAAAGATAATCCAAGTGGGGTAGAAAGTGCAGCGCTTAAGCCTGTTCTATATTGTGTGTGCATGTGTTTGGTCATATCTGGTACACATATATGTGGTACACGTGTGCATGTGGAGGCCTGAGGTTGACATCACGTGTCTCCTTAATCCCCCTTCACATTGTGTATATTTGAGGCAGGTCTCTTGCTCAACCTGTAGCCCTAGGCAGCTGCTGCTTTCATTTGTTCTCTCCAAATGGGAACTAGCTGCAGGTTCAGGCAGAGGCTCCTGCCACGTCTCATCCAGGTTACTGTAGTGGGATGGCAGCTCCCTTGCAGAGGAATTTTCATGTAGAAACAAGTTATGATTCTGAGCCTTGAAAAGTTTATCACTAAACCTTTATAACCTCGCCCCTGGTCCTACTACCTCCCAAATAAGGAAAATATTATTTATAGAAACCTGGTTGTCTGGCTTGGGCAAAAGAAAATGGAAGAACAGCTGGCCTAGGGAGTGCTACAGGGGCTGCTGGGAACCGCCAGGATGTCTACAACCAAAAGATGGGAAACCTCAGCACACAACATATAGAACATGAATGGAGTTTACTGCTGGGCTGTCAATGATCCTTACGGGCCTACAGTGGGTGGAGCGTCACTCCCCTATCCCCCAAGCACCTGTCACCTGGGCAGAGTTTCTTACAGGGTGTCAGTTTTTTAATCACAAGCAGGGCAGCTCAGTACTGGCAATACTATTTCAGTGACAATCTGAAGTTGCATAAATAGTTCTTTAGAATGTAAAATAAATGGATTCCTCCATCACAGTTACACCGAGCATTTAGAAGAGGCAAGTACAAAACAGTTCTGCTTCTGCATGATAAAAATTCCATATAATACCATGATAAACAATATACTAAAGCAGAGAGCCATCTTCCTTAAAATGGCCAATGATTCCCACCCACAGTGGAGGGAAAGGCAAGTTGTAGGAGCAATCAAGTTTCTTTTCATTTCCAAGTTCATTTTAGTCACAGGAAGTCGTGTCACTGAAGCGGGAAAAGGAAGTCACAGAACTGTTCGGAACTCATCGAAAATGAAGTTAGGCACGTGTGCTTCAGCCACCTGTGATGGTAAGCAGAGATTAAATCATTTAGAACGTCGTAGCTCGTCAAATTCACAATTTACATATGAAAATTCAGTGAGTGGAACTATCTGTTGGAGTACGGTGAAGCACTGGAATGAGTAAGCTAGGAAACCCCTTTCATTGCTGGTGGCCCGTCTTAGGTCTCCTTACAGTGCGGCACTGACACACCAGCAGACAGGAGGCCTGCCCCCACACTTGCCTCCTCCAGTAGGCTTGGCTCTTAAAGGCATTTGGACCTAAGGACACAATGAGGCACTAAGGAGAACCCTGAGGCCAGAGAGGAAGAACAGTGCTGTTTGGAGTCACGTGTCTCAGAGCCACTCTATGACTATGGCCTGCTTTTCCCTTGATGGGAGGGGCCGCTTTGTCCTCTACATAGTTTTATACACAGTTTGTCCATTGGTCTTTTATTTTTTTGTAGTTTTATGTGTTAATACATGCTATGTTATACTTTTTTTAAAAGAAACAATCCTTTATAAAAATTCAAAAAGCAAGTTAAAGATTAATTGGTGCTTTGATTATAGTTACAATAAATCTATAAGCTAGGTATATGTTTGATATCAGTGATATGTACATGTATGATATCTCAGTGATATGTATAATTTGAAAGTCTCATTTGAAACAGACTTTCAAAATCTTACCCCATTGTTACTATTTTTTTCTAGTGTCTGTTCTTATTTTTAAAATGATTATTATGATTTATTTATGTGTACGTGTGTGTCTGTGGAGGTCAGGCATGTCAGATCCCTTAGAGCTGAAGTTACAGGCAGTTTTGAGCTGGCTGATGTGGGTGATGGGAATCGAACTCAGATCCTTTACAAGAACACTGTGTGATCTTAACCACTGAGCCACTGTTCCAGTCCCTAGTCGTATTATTAATTACACTGCTTCTTTCATACTTCTGTGAATGGGACCTTTTTTAAAAAATATTTTAAGCTATTTTTATTTTGTCTATTTATCTTGTCAATAAATAGACAAAAAAATATTTACTTGTTGAATTTATTTTTATTTTGCTTTTTTTGTTTGTCTTTTGAGACAAGATCTCACTACATAGCCTTGGCTGGCCTGACACTTGCTATATAGAGCAGGCTGATTTCATACTCATAGAGATTCACCTGCTGGGATTGAAGGTGTACGATACCACACCCAACTTTTATTCAGCTTTTTATTTTTACTCAGGGCTTGCTCTACCTCTGAGTTAAACCCCAACCCTCTGAGCTCATTTTAAAAAGTTTTCTGATGATTCTAGTAGGTTCTCATTACATTCTTAATACAGGACAAATTTTGTTTTCTTCCCAAATCTGTTGTATGGTTTCGCTTATTATCTAACATCTGTATAACAAACAGGAGCCAGTGTCAGTAATATGTGCCTCACAGCCTTGACTATCATCTACTGCATGCCCATGAAGTCCTAAAAGATCAGCTTTGGCTTTTGTTATTAAAAAGTGCCTTCAGTTAAGGCTTTTTCACACAGATTTATTTGTGCACATGGGCCGTGGAATGCTTTCAGAGGTCAGAGACCGTCTTGTGGGAGCCAGTTTTGTCCTACCACATGGGGTTCTGGGGACTGAACTCAGATTGTCAGGCTTGGTGGCAAGTGCCTCTACCTGACAATCCATTTTGCTGGACCTTATTTTTAACCTATTAATTTTTAAAAATGAGAAACCATTTTTTCAGCATTTGTTATAGGTCTTCACAGTTCTTAAATCAAACTTCCCTTTGTGCTTAAGGAGGGCAAGGAAGGAATTTCCTAGAAGGTAAAAGTGTTTCTTCATTCCCATCTTCATTTCTAGAAGTAGTGGCCTGCACTGAATGTGCCAATGGCGCTCGGTTGTCATAGAGAGGAAGAACAAAGGGCCCACGGTCATTTCTTTCCCTGGCCCATCAGGAATCCCTTCCTTGCTTGCTCACCTCACTGAGCTGGCCCTGAAGTGGGTGGAGGGTGAGGAGGGAGACGAAAAGTCCTCTACTGTGAGGGAAGACAGATGCATTGGAGAGTAGAGGCACAGCAGTGGGGGGCGGGGGGAGCTGAGAGTCTTCTGCTAAAGACACACAGGCCTTCACTCCTAGTACACGCAGGGCTGCTGTGGATAGGTCATTACTTCATCCTCTACTGTCTATGGCTTACCCTTCGGGGAAGCTTTGTGTACCGAACATAATCCTCCAGGAACAGAAGGGCACCCACAGCATCTGCCGGCATTTCAGGCATCTTCTGGCTGTAAAGGAAGTCTGGGTCAGTTAGCTGCACTGTATGTTAACAGGCCCTTCCTGACTAATCAGCGCGTACCAAGTCTATAAGAAACCTACAGGGCACCCTCTTGATTCCCATGAAATAATCATCCTGCTCCTATTTAAGAACCAACCCTGCAGGAAGCAAACCAGGGGCTGGTGTGACGGCTCAGTGGGTAGAGGCACCTGCCATAAGTGTGATGGCCTGCGGTCCATCCCCAGCACCCATATGAAGAAGAGAGCTGGCAGCTCTTCTCTTCAGCTGAAGGTTGTCTTTTGACCCCACGTGCTTTCAGTGAGTGGCACTTGCACACACATCTGTACCCACACAGGCAAATAACTGTAATCAAAAGAAAAAAAGCCAAACCCCAACCTTGTCTCTGGTGTATAATATGGCCCTGTAGTCTGTCTCAGATAGATAGGTTACACTTTAGACTCATCTCCCCTTGAGGTCTTTCATACTCCCTGACTCAGGCAATGCCTGACAGATCCCACATTTTCCCATCCTCTAGTCTTTCAGCTGCATTTGTTTTGCAAACTCATTTGAAAGTGAGTGAGTAGCCAGGACTGCAATCCCACTTACTCTGGAGGCAGGAAAATTGCAAGTTCAACGTCCACCTGGGCTATAGACTAACTTCAGGGCCAGGCTGGCAAACAGTGAGACAGTGTCTTGAAGAGTGAAAAGGAGGGCTGGGGTGTGGCTCAGCTTTAGGTTTCTTGCGTGGTGCAAGATCCCTGCTTAGCAGAAAGATCTGCCTTATGCTGGCAACAACAGTCAAATGGTAACCCGTCACATGACAGACATTCTCCAGGCAGACTGACCCTTTCAGGTGGCAAAAGGGGGAGTTTGGGGTGCAGCATTCTAGGGCCACAGATTTTTTTTGTTTGTTTTTCCTAGAATATCCACAATTGAACAGAAGGGAGCAAAGCATTAGAAGAAACTGAAGGCTTATACATTTTGTTACCTAATAGCAACTTGTGATTTTGTTATACACTGTGAACTCAGATGTTTCCCTGGCCTTGACACTGGGAAGCCACTCCTGTTGATTGTGTGCAGCCATGTCTTGGTGGTAGTCCAGCAGGAATGCAGGGCTCACTGAGTTCTGAGAGCTGGATCAATGTGGCAGTCACAGGTCTGCACTTTCTCATGGTGTCTATTAATCTCCACCAAGATCCAGTCCTACAAAGTCCCTGCCAGTCACAACTACGGGAAACTTAGTGGCAGGCTGACAGGGTAAGCAGTGTTGGTGACTGCTCCTTGGGGAGTGTCCTGACTTGTTTATGGAGAAGCACACACTCCCCATTACTGCTGGGACAGCAATGAGGGATTTGTCACGAGAAGTTGCAGTCCCTTTTCGTGACTCTAAGTTCCACTGATTCTGACTGTACCTTGTGCACTGCTCCATTGTGGAGCGGATAAACTGGCCAATCAGTGCCAGGAATTGCTCGGTGTACCGGGAGTGAAACTGCTTCAGCAGAGTGAGCAGTCCCAGGACGAGTGGCGGCCAGTCAACAGGGTCGGCAGGTTTCCGGCAGACCATGCCTGTGAGGGAACGAGTTGCAATACCCAGTGAGCTACTTACTTTTGAATATGGTCACTAAATATCAGTC